CCAGCAGCTTTGGGTGAAACTCTGTTGTTCTTGGGACAGAAACACAGCGATGTGCCAAAGCCAGCCGACACACTGCAGGAGCAGGCGGTACGATGGAAAAAGTGTCCTTCGTCCGGGCTCGGACGCGTCGTGCTCATCGCAGCTAAGTGCCTATCAGGATTTCTGGGGACGCAGCAGCTGGGACAGCTATCTATATACGTGTGTGTTTATTTTTTTAGGTCAACACCCCCAGTACTTTAAAGCCGTTTTATGTTTATGACTTGGAGGCTTAGTCCGAAGCTGATGCTGCAGCGACAAATTACCTTCCAGCGCGTACCGAAAGCCATTTATTTACCCAGCTCAGGTCTCTGCCAGCGGAGGTGACCTGGAGGGCTGAGCTCGCTTGCGGGCGCCGGGGCGGCCACGCTCACCGGGGTACGGCACCGCCGCCCTGGGGCGAGCAGGGGGCCGGATTGCCTGGGAGGGAGGGACGGACGGACGGACAGGCGCCCAAAATAAAGGACAGAAAATACCCGCGGCCCCTTCTCCTGGCTGTCCGTGGGCGCCTCCGGAGAGAAAACTGGGGATCCCAGGGGATTTTCAGTTGTTTTACCATGTGAAAAGTAACCTTCAAATGCTTTGCCTGTGTGACTGGGTGCGTAGGGAAGAAATACAAAGCCCTCTGCCTTATTTGCTAATGAAAATGCTAGAACTCATTTCAAATGAATCTTTAAAAGGGAACGCTACCTGAGTTGGCATTTTTTTTCAGGCTACTCAGCAGATTTACAGTAATTTGCATAATTTTGTGTTTTGCTGTGGTAATGTAAATTATTTTGGTCTACCCTTTCATACCACTACAGAGAAGAATGCTGTGCTGGGTCGGGAAAATCGCACATCCTGGAGGCTTTTACCTGCATTTTGATTTTTCCAGTTGCTTGACTGCAGAGCAGAGGCTTTCTGGTGCCAGGACGGCTGGGGTGTGAAGAGCTTGCCAGGCGCTGATCTGCATGATGTTTTCACCAGGCTTTACTGAAAGGGAGAGCGTTAGTTACTTTCTGCTGCACTAATTGGGTAGCTCGCTGCAGTCTCAGGGTGGTTTGATGCAGGGAAAAGGTCTTTTCTTTCTGTTAAAGGACTGCTCACCCCTCTGTAGGCATGGAATGGAGTCACTGTGGCAGAAAATCGGTGCCGGAGCATATTGCGAGTGAAATGTGGTGGGACTTCCAAACAGGGCGATAAGGCGATTCACTCGTTTGACTCCGCTGCTAATTCTTCGGGGATGGGCTCTGGAGACGGTTTGGCAAGGAACAAAGATGTGCTGCTTTCTTTATTGCGCATTTCTGCTTCATAATTTGTAAAACAGGCCCTGAAGAGCTTTTGTAGTTTAAAAAAAAAAAAATCAGGAAATTCTTCTTCCATGTGAAGTCCCAGTTTTTCTTCCCTGGAGAATTTATGCGACTGCTGGCGAGGAGGAAAGCGGCGCTGAGAAGGCCGGTGGTGCGCTCGTCTGCTGTGGCTCCTCCGGTAATTGCCCCAAACTGGCAAATCTGGCTTAGGAGACTCCTCACCTCCACCTCTGCTGCCTTGTCCCTTCCTTGTGGCGGGCGTCGTCTGCCCGCGGCCGCATCGAGACCTGCTCGAGAGACGGCGTTTTTAAAGTTGGTTGGGGCAGCGCACTGGGGGAGGTCGGCCATCCCCGACGGAGAGCGGGCGAGAGGCTGGGGGGGAAGGACCTCAGGAGCCTCGTCAATTGGCTTTGCTGTCAGAAAAGCTGTAACGTGGAGCCACGCTGTATCTGATCGCTTAAAACTCTAGGTGTTTTGGTTACTGTTAGTAGGTGCTTTTACTCTCATTATGCTTTGGAAAGGAAGCAAGGAAGACGAGCTCTCCCGCAGCTCCCATCCAAGTCCTCTGCAGAAAGCGTTCCCCAGACGCCCACGTGCAGCCCACGACACTAAATGTGATGTTGCTGCAGCAGAAACGGTGAAATACTTGATTTTTTGAGGCCGGCTTATCTGCTGCTGCTCTACAGACTGACGCTATAGAAAAATAAAAATTAAATCATTTGAAAGGCGAAAGCCGGGCAGGGTTTATCTCTGCTCCGAGGCTCTCGTCCCACTCAGCGCAGGCGAGGGGTTGGTTCCTGCAAGTCGTGTGGCTCGTGCTCCGCTCCTCCTGAAACATCTCCCTGGGCTTTTGGCTGCCAGTTCCTGCCCCCGGCTGCCTCCCTGCTCGCGAGCGTCCGCTCCGGCTGGCACAAGCGTTTCTGGGTTTGTCCTGCTTCGCGGTCCGTGCTCCTGTCCTGGCCAGTGCAGCTGCGAGAGGGTGTCCGGGAGCACCTCCAGAAGTTAACCTGGCAGGCGTGCCAGTCTCATGATTTGGAAAGTCACCCCTGCAAGCTGAGCCTCAGCTGGAACGTGTCGGCATTAAAATAACAAAAATCTGAACGCTGCGATTGGGGGGAAGAAAAAGGCTCTGCAGGACTGGAGCTGAACTTAGCCGCAGGACGACAGCGTGACGCTTTGACCTTACGAATTAGCAGTAAACCTGCCTGCTTTCTGTTAAATAGGTACATTATTTACCAAATCGGCCGGAGACGACGCTGTGATGGTACAAGTCCGGCATCTTCAGTTTATAATCTTGCTTCCTTACTTCCTCTGTAAGCACGTTCTGTGTTTTAACCGTAGCCGGCCCGTGTTGAAGTCGTGCGTGAACACTCCTAGGATGGATCGTCCGCCATCACGCAGCTGTCAGTACACGTGTCAGAGCCCTTACCCCCGGGGCAGCGCGTGTGCCCCGGGGAGCCTGGCCACGAGGAGAGCCGTGCCCCGCTGCCGGCAGCTGGTACCCGCAGGGGTGCAGCTCTGATTTCCAGCCCGTGGCGTTTCACACGCCTGTAGATCTTACCTGGACCGCAGCCGCCCGCAGCCACCAGAAAGGGAAAATGGCCAGTGTAAACCAGGACGGATAAAAAGGGAAGCGGTTGGTTTTTAAAATCGCTGAGCAGGAAGCTTTCTGTTCAAATGGTGAATCTTGCTTTGCCTTTAGGCTTCTTGTTTTCTTAGAGTTTTGCTCTCATTTTTTATAACAAGGGGGACATGTTGATTTAAAGCTGCAAGTGTTTTGCAGAATGTTGTTGCTAGTCCTTCTGACAGCTGAAAGGATCCAGCATTTTGGTAGACATTTATTTGAGTATGTAGCGTAAGTTTTTAGATTTGAGGTCTTGGTTTTGTTTATTTGCTAGAAAATGGTGATTGATTTTGTTTTTTATGAAAAGCTTATTTTGTGCTTTTCATTTCTGCCAATTGTATTTGGATGACAAGTGGAATTCAGTTTTGTGTGGAAAACTGGCGTCACAGAAGCTCCTGAGCACGACGGGTATATTCTGCCTCCAAACCCAGTACATCAGCATGCAAAGGAAGGCAATAATTTGTTGGTTTGTCTGCTAACAGTGGTGATTCGGGTTTCTGCGTGTGCCAGCCAGAAGCTTTCAAAATACCCTTGGTTCTTCGTGCAGGCTGAAGCCTACCTGCTGCTGCAACTGCTGAAAACCCCGCTTGGCGTCTGGCTGCTGCTGCAACTTCTCTTTGCATCCATCAGCTCGCGAGCACCCTTCCTCAGCTGTTTTCTGCGTCGCGGTTTGGGGGAGTGAAAGCAGCCTTCTGTTCTCATCTGAATAAAGAGTATATTCTTTCACTTAAGCCAAGCCCAGCAGCAATCAAAACAAAATATTTCCTACACAATGAACAGAACTACTGGCAAACGGGGTGATGTAAATGCCAAACGTGCTTCATTTTAGAGGCCGCTGTAAGGACAATGCCGCAGTGTCGGAGTGAACTGCGGGACTTAAACTGAGCAAGGCAGTCAAACGTCCCCCTCCCTTCTTAACTGTATTTAAAAGCAGTAGCCTTTTAAAGGCGTCAACATTTGAGGAGGGACTATTAGTATAGCATTACTTTTTAAACAATTAAAACTGTATAGTTAATTTAGCTCTATGGCAATATAGCATAAACTTCATCTCTTTTACCTGGGCTTATTTCAGAGGAGGAGGCATTGGGGGTGGGGGGAAGATCCCAACGCCTCACTTGTCTGGCCCCCCCTTATAAACTTCATCGGTCTTACTTAAATTGTGGTGGTCTCCAGTACCTTAATTGAGTTCCTCACACCCATCACCTTATTGATGCTCTAAAAGAGTTGATCAACGTGGTTAACCGTACCTAAAGAGAGAGGTACGTATCAGGGATGGCAAGCTTGAAATCTAATGACGCACACTGAAATTTAAATGTGGATTAATGTTTACGATGACAATGCCTTGAAACCTTGATGAATTTACCACCGATATTTTCTGCTCATCAGCATCCCGATGGGAAGCGCTGTTACAATCGGTACCCCGGAGTCCTGGCGCAGAGGGGGGGGGTCTCGTGAATGCAGTGGGAAACTGGTGTGGGTGGGTGGTCTAACTTGGGCTGGTGCTGGGCCACCAGGTCCTCTTAAATCCTGGCAATAAAACGGGGTAGGAAAATAAACTGCATCAGAAATGGGTTTTCTGTTCCTGAGCGTGTAATGCAAGAGCCGGGAAAGCTGTGGGCAATTTCTGATGTGGTGAAAAAAGGACGGAGCAAGTATAGCTGAAGGCAAACATGACTGCGCCAACATCTGCTGCTTCACAGTTTTGTTTTTTATGAGTTTTTTGGGGAAAAAAAAACAAACCCAAACTTATAAATTGGGTTTGTGAGTCCAGTGTGTCTATTAGAGCTGAAGAGTGGTAGTTAATGGTGGTTTTGCCACTGTTTGCGATTCCTGTTTGGCAGCTGTAACGGAAGGAATTACCTTTTGCTGGCTCCCAAAAAGAAAGGGCGGCGGAGGTGAATGGGGACCGACCCCTCGGGCTGCGGGTGGCCCCCTGCAGAGCCCGGGGTGAGGGGTGCTGGAGGGGACGAGACAGCCGACGTCCGAACCGTGGGTCCGTCTGTCTGCACCAGCTGTGTTTAACTTGCTGTGCTTCTCCTCTCTGTCGTCAGGCATCCAGCACCGGCACCAGGATGAGCGTGGAAGCGAGCAGCAAGCCCCTGAAGGTGGGCTCCAGGGTCGAAGTCATCGGGAAGGGGCACCGCGGTACCGTGGCTTATGTCGGTGCCACCCTGTTTGCCACGGGGAAGTGGGTCGGCGTCATCCTGGATGAAGCAAAGGGCAAGAACGATGGGACCGTGCAGGGCAGGAAATACTTCACCTGTGAGGAAAACCACGGCATCTTTGTGCGGCAGTCACAGGTACGCTTCCCTCTGCGCGTGCCCTGCGATGGCCTCTGCTTGCCGGGCTCGTCTCGGGCATGTGTGGCTCGTGGGTTGCTTGGTTAAATAGAGGAAAATGGCCCTTTGCACCCTGACGGGGAGAGATAAAAGAAGTTCCCTTCGCTCCCAGAGAGAGCAATGTTTCTGGGACTCTCCATCTTCCATCGTGTGAGGGAACAGAACAGCTCCACAGACAGGCAGAAGCCTTGCCCGGAGGCTGTGCTCCTGCCGGAGCTGCGGTTTGTTCCAGTCTGACACGCAGCTTCTCTGCACGTTTCACTGAGTGTTTTGATTAGCCCAGTTTATGGGGTCATCGTGAAATATTTTCAGATTAATTGGGTGAAAAAAAGCTCGGTGAATTCCAGAGAGCGTGGAATGGTTTTATTTTGCCTCCAAAAGGAAGAGTAAAGTCTGCCTGCTGTCTGCTGCCTCAGAGAGTTACCGGCTACATCATCTGTAGGAGTCAAAGTTTGGGACCAATATCTGGGTGTTTACCTGGAAGTAAAGTCAGAGAATTTTAATTAAATAACGTTTACCTCGAAGTATATAAAATGCGTCACTCGGGTTTAGTTGTTGAGCTTTTGCGATTCGTGTACAATAGGTAGGAACTAGGAGCTTGTTTATGTGCAAACAAGTCTCTTCCATTTTAATTTCCTCCGTGTAATCTTCAAACGGCACAAGCGCAGAAAAGTGACGCTGCTCTTGAGTCCCACAGCTTGGTGTGCTCCAAGCACGATGTCACGGTGAGAGACGTTCAGCTCCTCTCCTCCTGCCTCGGCACAAAACGACTGGTTTAGGTTCGACCCTGTAGCATCTCGGCAGCAGAGCGGGCTCCTTTCCACTCCCGCAGACCCTCCTGCTGCCCCACCAGACGTGGTGGCTCGCTTCCAGGACGTTGGCAGCGGGTGGCTGAGGAAGCGTGGGGGAAGCTGAACGCGAAATAAGGGGTTTTAGGAGCAGGAGTCCTGGGGGTGGATCCCAGCATCCTCCGTCCTGGCCATCAGAAGGGCCTTCAGGCCACGCGTGGTCAGAGGGCTCACCGATGAGAAGTGAATGCTCTCTGCTGGCTGTTTCGCTGGGACTCACGGACCTGGCTTCCTTGGTCCGTCGCTCAGCCTCGCCTGCCAGCTGGAAAAGTAAATGAGTAGTTTACAATCAAAAGCTTTGGTCTGCAGGACCGGGACGCACGGCTCCCAGACCGGGTGGCTGGAGAGGAGCTCAGCACACAGGGCAGCCTGTTGGCAGGTCTCTGCCCGTCAAGCACTCGTGAAATCCCAGCGCTGGCAGACCAAGGGGGGGGAATACGCAGGCAGCTACTGTGCTCCGGGCGTAGCGTGGCCCTCTGCCACCCATCGGACGTCTGGTGACGTGCAGCGGTACGAACGTGACCCACGGTGCTGGCGTGGGCAGGTCAGCGTTGCTGTGCTCGCCTGGGGCCTTCGGAGGAGCTTCCATCTCGTCTGCTGGCGACGGCAGGGTGGCGGTGGAAAGGTTCCTGTGTACGGCTTTGCATGGGGGTGTTTGCGGGTCAGACTGAAGGGTGCTCGGTAGCGTCTTCTCCTGGGACTCGAAACCTGCTGGGCTGCAGGAGCCGGCCCGAGGGAGCTGTGTGCGAGGGCTGGGTCTTTGGCGGGGGGGGGGGGGGGGGCCGCGCGGGGGGGCCGGCCAGCCGCCTCTCGCTGCGCTTCCCCTTTCTCGCTTTGGTTTTGGAACGGCTGGGGGCTTTGTCTTGCGTGTCCCCAGCTGAGGAGCACACAGTTTGCTTAAAAATAAGCTGCTCTTCCACGGCGATGGTAAGTAGTTTGTCTCTGCCCGCTCTCCCCCGCGAAAGAGCAAATCCCTGGTGTGCACGTGCGGAGAACGTGCACCAGGGCCAGTAGCACTGACCGTCCCTCTGAATCTGAGACCTGTGTGGAAAGGTGAACTTGGTGAGCACAGGGGAGCGCAGTCTTTGAGGAGCATATCCAGCACGGATTGCAAATCGCAGCGGTTCCTGTGCCTGCCTCGTGCAGCAGCCGCCGAACGGGCGCAGGGCCACGGCTCTGCTCTCCGGCCTTTTTCTCAAGCTCTTGCTGCGGAGCACGGCTTCCCAGGGGACTTCCAGCACGAGGGCTTAGCGAGCCGGTCAGTCAGCCTGCACCAAAACAGAGGACCAGCAGAGGTGGTGGAGGAAGCTGCCCAGGCTGTGGGCGGCCGGTCACCTAAGTGACCATTACGGTTTGGGCATTAATTTTTCAAGAACCGGCTTTAAGATATAAATGGAAAACGGCAGGATTCCCTCTCAGCAGAGTTAATGCTCTGCTTGTGCTCTCCGCTGTAAATCTGTCTACTGCTTCCTCCCGTATTTCATTCCTAGGTCTCCCCAGCATAGCGGGTGGCTGTCCTGTGGTTACGCACGGTGTCAGACCACTGGATGTAAATAATACATCATTTTTTTTGGGGGGGGGAAAAATTTGTAAATGAGAAATGCCTTTCTCATTGCTTATGGAGCAGATCACCTGCATCAGTACAAACACATCTTGCTAAACACTTGTAAAGTGTTTTTAAGAATTTCCAAGATTAAGTAACTTTCTCTTCTCCCCTGCATTTAAAAGTATATCTCAAAAAATGAGCACCAGTAATACCAGCATCAGTAAAGCCTAGCGGCGTTCTTAGTCTTTTAATTTATTGTGGCGTTTCAGCTCTAAAAATGTACTGATGGGAAAATTTCAAAGATTTTAGGTAAATTTTTTTTTTCCTGTTTCGTGCAATCATCAAAGTAGATCCCGCACAGGGATTTGATGCCGTGCTTTAGCTATAACTAAGTGCTCATCTCCTGGGGAAGGATCAAGCCCATGCGATGCATCTGCTCCAGGCCGCTCGGGTTATTGCCAGCTGCGGCGGCGGTGGGCGTCCCAGCAATGCCTCGCCTTGCTGAAAGGGAAGCAGAGAGCCAAAAGAACTGAAATAACCACCAAACCATTTCTCACTGCTGCGCCCGTTCGTGAAGCAGCATCCCACGGGGGAGCAGGGTGGGTATCTCCAGCTGAGTCGGCAGAGAGTTTCAGGGTGGAGACCCTTTAAGCGTGGCAGCTCTAGGGACGTTAACGTCTCCTGGCGGAGTCGCCGTCCCGTAGCCGTCTCGCACCGTCCCCTCGGTGTCCTGGCCTCCCACCCGCAGCCTCCTGGGTGTCCTGGCCAGCAGGAGGGGAGGGAAGGTGGCTGCGGCAGAGCTGTGACGGAGGCACTCGCCGCCTCGGGCTGCGGGACTGAGCCGGGGGTGTTTCGGCTCGCCGTGCAGAGGGTGGGTGCCGCGGAGGGGCTGTTGCCTCTCCGCTTCTGGCCATCCCCTCCCTGCTTGTCTTCCAGTTGGCAGAGGGCTGGAGCGCTGCTTCGAGCAGCCGTGTCAACACGGACGGGCGTTTCCGACCGAGTGTTTGCTCGATATCTTTTGGCAGCCTTAACATTTTGCTTGCCCAGGACTTGTATTTGGGCTAGTAATTTTGAACGTGAGTGTTCTTTTATGGTGTGTGGAAACATTATCACTGATTTTGACATCAAGTGGAGCTGCTTTTCTGCTCCTGCTTGGCAGAGGAGCTCATCAGCTTAAATCTGCTGCTGCAGGACATCTTGTACCTTGTTGCGCTTCTCCAGCCTGACCCAAAAGCAAGCCCTGTTCTGGTTCCTGCCACCTTCTTCTTGTTAGCCGTCTCCCAGCAAGTCCGGTGTTTCCACCTGAGTCGTACCTGGTGGGGAACCCCGAGACCGCTCAAGATCCCGCCCTCGGTTTGGATAAACTCCTGTGCGTGACCTGGTGCAGCAGATCCCCCGGGACCCCGCTTCCGTAGTCCTGGGGTCTGGTTTTGTCGTGCTGCTGCCTTTAGTGAAAAGTTGTGAAATTCTGTGCGCTGCCGAGTCACTCCGAAGATCGGGTGCGCCTGGCTGTGCCAGATACCCACTTTCAGCAGGATCCGAGGGGCACTCGCCTCGTCCTCACTTTTAAAACCGTGGTTTGAGTATTCTCAGCATTGGTGCGGCTGTCGTGATTCCTGTGGCATAGTCTTGCTCAGTCTCCGTGCTTCTTGTAATTTAAGAGTATGGTCCTGGTACTTGGGCATCTTCCCAAAATGGAAACTGTGGCTGACAGGTTTACAGATTATTTTTATTTTTTAAACTGAACTCCCAGGCTTAAGGTTTTCACGGAATGGATCAGGCAAATACCTGTCAGGAAACGATTCAGGCAGTGTTGATCTTCTAAGGTGAAGGGATGGCTCTCAAGAAGTGATCTAATCCTTTCCAGCATTGTTTTCTATATTTATCAGGCAAAAATGTGTGCAAAAATAGGTAACAAAGAGATAGCCCTAAACCTTCAACCCTTAGATAGCTTAACACGGCTCAAACCTGAAAGTATTCCTGTCTGTGCCTCCTGGGGTTCCCTAGAGAGCTGGGCAGCTTCCAGACTGTAAAACCAAAACAAACCCCCCTCTGTTGGCTGCGCTGCATTTTGAGTCACTGAAGTTCTCTGTTTCAGAGAAAAGCAGTTTTCCTTATGAAGAGAAAGAAGAGTTTTAAAATAATTTTTGCTAAGACCACACACAAAAAAAATAAAAATCGAGCTTTCTGTCAAGTGTCAGTAACTTAAAATAACTGTCAGAGCAGGGTTCGTGAACTGATCGCTCTGTGGAGTGATCATGGAACTGTTGAAGACGTTCTGGGCTGTCGAATCCCGAGTTTTGACTTTATTTACTCCTTATGTGAATATTCTTTATTCCCTATGTGAATAAAGAATATTTTGCTGTTTTCAGGAAGCCTGTGGAAGGAGGATGGTCGGATAGCTGAGCGTGAATGACTAAATTAAAGATCTGTGCCAAAAAAATGCAGTCTGTGCTGTTTAAATCTGCTACCGAAACGGACCTGTTTTCTGATCACATTCTGCTTATGGGTTTTTTTGGTTTGTTTGGGGTTTTTTTGTTTTTTTTTTGTTTTTTTAATGATAGTTGTTATACTTTTTCCAGATCCAGGTCTTTGAAGATGGAGCTGATACAACGTCCCCAGAAACACCAGAATCTGCTGCCTTGAAAGTCCCCAAAAGAGGTACGGCTGGTCCGTTTTGCCCCGAAACCTCCTCTCTCCCTTGGTCTGGACCAGACGAGGTTCCACTGCCGAACGGGCGTCGGGGTCCCCACGCTGGGGAGGTGGGCGCTGGCTGCCAAGGGGTGATAGCCTGTATTCCAGGGCTCTGTCCCTGGTTCGGGTACATGCTCACCTCCCCCTGGCTCACCCGCCTCTCCCGTTGTCCTCTCTGCGAGGTCCTACGTAGTCTTTGGGGATCACAGAAGGAAGCACCGCGTGCAAAAGCTGCTCCAGGCAGTTCTGTCCTTACCGTGAAAGTCTGTCTGGTGGGAAGCAAGTGGGAAATCCTTCCTGGAGGGGTGGGAAATCCTTCCTGGAGGGGTGGGCACGTGGAAGGAAGACTTGAACTGCTCTGCCGCTGTGAAATCGCAGCTTACAGGTCACCGGCCGCTCGAGGCTGTGACTCGTTCCCACATCTCTGGCAGTGGACGCCTTCCGCTTGGCCTTGAGCATTCCTTCCACTTCTCCCCTTGCCAGGCCGCTCTGCCACAGCTCGCTTTGTTTGGCACCTCATGGGTTGCTCTTTTTTTTTCTTCTGACAGGCTTGCCTTCCTTTGAGGTCTGTTTTTGTCGAGTATTTATTTAGTGGTGCGCTTAGGGATCCTAGGAGCTTGCGGAGAAAGCTCTGGTAGCTTCCTGTCCTGGACGGTCCGTTGGCAACGTGTGCCAAGCTGGGGATTTCTTGTGTGCGAAGCGTTTGTTGAACACATGCTTAACGGTTCAGAATAGGGTTGGGTTTTTTGTTGTTGGTTTTTTTCCCTCTCCTAGCCAGCAGAAGTTAAAATTCCCCTTTGTTTGGCAAAATGAAATCTACCCTTCAGCTGCACAAAACGTGCCCAAAGGCGTCAGAAGGGGGTGATGATTAGCCCGAGAAGCGGGGTGTTCCCATGAGACGTTAATTTTGTCGGTCCCATGAGCGGAAGGGAAATCTGAATTGGCATTCATGTCCCTTGGCATTCTGCCTTCACCTTCTCCTGCAGGGAGCTCCGGGCCTCCAACAGCCCGCTGCCGCTGCGGAGAGCTTGGGTTTGGTACAGCCCAGCCACTTTAATTCATCTCTGCTTTGGATCCGCCAATTAGCATGTGCAGCTGAACAGGGAAACATTTAAAGCGAGCCAGTTTTAATTTAGGGGTGGGGTTTAATGCAAAAAAAAAAATGGAAACTCTTCTGCTTAGTATACTAGCGTGAGTGTTTTTTTTCCCAGAGTGCTAGAAAGCCCAGCCTTTCATGTGCAACTTCAGCCTGTTCTTTGTATGTACTTGATATCAATAGTAAGTGAAAATATTCCTTCATGTTTATATGATCTTTTCACTTTTTCTCAATTCAGACTTTCCAGCTGAAAATTCGGTTTTCCTTGTCACAATTCTGTACTCGTTGAGGATAAGGTGCTTGCGTGGAGCTGTGCAAGCATTTTTTTTTCCCCGCTGCCTCTGTAGGTCTGGGCTTTCTGGATGTGTGTTAGTGGACGTCGCCCCTTGGAGCGCTGAACCTGTGCAAAAGCCACAAGCCTTCCAGCGCCGGGAGTCTGCTGTCGTTCTTCTCATCCCTCAGTTATTAGGAGCTAGGGAGAAAAGACAAGTGCTCTTTAGACCCTCACTTAACATCCTGAGAATTCAGTAGCAGCTGGTGCTTCCTTGAGCCGGCAGACGGGAGCGAAGAGACCAGAAATACCTTAACTACATGGAGACGGGGTAGCCTTGGAAAAAGCAACGAACCAAACCTCCGGGTTTAGCGTGGCTCTTCAGCAAATGTTGCTGCCTTTTAATTTCACTACATCTGTGTGTGCCCGTACGATGAATCTTTAAATCCTGTGCCATCTCCCCTCTCGTTATCTGGAAGTCTTTCCAAGGCTCTAATCTCCGCTGTCTACTGCAGCGTTGTCTCTGCTTCTTCTAAAACCCTTGTCTGGGGCGACCAGCAGTGCCTGCAGCATCCGGAGGTGTACGGCTGCTTACTCGCGGCGCGCCGCTGCGACACTTTCAGTACCGTCTCTCCTTTCTCAGTACACGCTGAGGTTTGTTGTTGCTGCCCAGCAGCGTTCACTGAACTTCTGCGGTGATGCTCTGGCCCCTTTTCCCCAGCTGCTGGTTCTTCCACTCAAATACAGAAATGAATAAAACACAAGCGGTTCAGGTTGCCCCTCCCGGTGTGCAGCGTCGGCGTTGCTTCCTCTGCCCCTTGCCGCTCAGAGCCCATTTCAGGGCGGGAGCCCGCGAACGCCATGCAGGAGGGGAAACGGGTGCGTTTAGCTCAGGTTTGGGGGTTGCAGGATGGGTGTCACCAGCGTTTCCCACTGCTGTCTGCAGGCAGCAGCGCGGCTGGCCTTGAGTACCATGAAACGCACACACGAGCTGGAGTCAGTCGTTGATGGTTGAAGTGGTGAGCGAAGGGGTCGTGCCAGAGCAGCGCCGGGTCGGGACAGGGGCGGTGCGGCGGGCGGACGCTGGCCAGGTCCGGGGGGGCCAGCCCCCTCGGGGTCCCGCGGCGGGAGGAGAGGGAGCCCAGGCAGGCAGGCTCGGCGTTGGCCGTGATGCTGGTTGGTAGGGATGCAGGCGCTGGGATGCGGCTGCTTCCAGGGAGTTTCCATGGAAACGGCAGTGCCGGCTGCTGCAGTCTGACTGCGGCGGGTGACGCAGAGATTGCTCTTCCCATAGATCCAGCACCTTCCTCTCCCAGACTAGCAGAGGTGTGAGGTACGCAGTGGAGGCGGCTCCTCTCTTTCGTTTATGAGACGCTTCTGCAGCATTTACTGTTGGGGTGATCAGTGCCACAGCTGGAAATACTGAACGCTGGTGGAATTGCAGCTGGGAGAGGAGGGGGCAAGCAGCCCCCCCCGTGGCTGTGAGCTGCTCGTGGACCCACCAGACATCCAGAAATGGAGCAAAGGATGTAATTTAGCCAAACCTGCAGTGGTTACCCGCATCTCTGATGCACATAAGCCAAGATCATGCAATCTGGTTCCTCCACACTCATGTACGTGGCACTCACTGTGCTGTCCAACTGTGCACACCGATAATCCAGAGAGCAAGGGAGGAATCCTGAATTCGGGGGAGGCGGGTTTGTTTGAGCACTGGGGTTTAGCCCGGTGCTGACACCTGACATCCAGGCTCTGTAACGGGGTGCTGCTTCGGTCCTCTGTTGGGATGATGAAATGGGAGCAGCTCCTAACAGCCGGCACCCCCCACAAGTTTAGTGACCTGGGGGAGGCCAGCGGCTGAATTGTCGGCAGATGTTCCCGGTGGCCGCCCGTGTGTAGGAGGTTTGCTCTCTGAGAAGCGGGAAGGACCTGTCTGCTGAGCTTGAGACCTGTCGGGGCTGTGGGCTTGGGGCTGCGGATGCCCCTCTCGGGGAGGTTTCCTGGGCTGAGGCGGGGAGCAGAGCTGCAGCCGGTCAGTTTGGGAATGTTTCTGAGTGGTCTCGTGTACATCTACCTCGTGCGTGTTCAGATTCCTGACCGCATACGGACCGGGATGGAAACCTTTTATTTTGCTGCCTGAAGTAAATGGTCTCTGGACCTGTATTTCTGTTGATACTCACGTTAGATTCTCACTTGGAATCCAGCTGATCGGATGTGGTCGTATGGACAGCTAGACTGCCGTGCGTTTCCGATAGAGAGCGCGCTCTGAAGGTGACTCAGGGTTCTCTGAATGGCAGTGATTTAACTCAAGAAAAGCAGCGTAGCCTGACCTAGTTCTGATGCGTGTGTCTGAATGTTTGGCTTTCTCAGACTGTGCCAGTGGGTCTAATAAGGGAGTCCCTGTTCCTCCAAACCCGTACCCCATTGTACCACCGTTTCCTGGTGTATCCAGAGCTGCACGGTCTCTGCTTCACGCCCGCTTCCCTAAGAGCATGGGTAAATGGTCCTTTCGCTATGCCTCGACACTTGCTGGACCGCAGAGACACTTGGTGTGCGGGTCGGGCCAGAGGCGTCCTTTGGGCCAAAGCTCATGGTTCTGTTTCTGTTTTCCTTTACAGATTCCCTGGACGCCGCCAAAGCCAGCAAACTGGTGAGTGCTGAGCCTGTGACTCTGCAGGCTGCTGAAACAAATTCCCTTTGCAGCGTATGATTAGTGGAAGAGGCAGACTTGCACGTGCTGCTCTTCATTTTTCTTTTTATTAACTTCTATCACCTCTCTAAAAGCTCCATTTTTCAACCCTGCAGGAAAAGTGCACGGAGACACACGCATACACCGAACGTACAGAAAGGACAGAGTTTTGCCAGCCTGTCTCTTATTTAGTCCTTTTCAGTTCTGTGCTCTGTAACAAAAATGCCCGTGGTAAAGTGCATTTCTTCTGAAGCCCGTGGGAAACAAGGCCGTATAAAAAGTAATTTTCAACTAATGACCAGAAACCAGTAAGTTACTGAGGAATAAAACCCCAGCACGGTTTCCCGTATTACACGTTTTATCCAGGTTCAATCAGTATTGCACCATTCACACCCTGCGTGCCCCTTGGCTGTGTTCCTTTAAATAATGACCCTTACATCCTGCAGGAAGAGTCTACTCCTCGGGATATTTGAAATTGGCTTTCTCTGACTTATACGTACGGCTTACAGAGAAACGGTGTATACTTCTGAGTATCTTTATCCAGGAATCTCAATGGCTCTTGAGGCATAAATGGGTACATGTTGTATCCAGAGGTGATGGGTGTTTCCTAAGGAACGGAAGATTGGAGCAGGTACCCATCTTCGAATACTTTTGACCCCAGACAAGCACAATTAAATAAGTACTTAAGGTTAAAAATGCAAAAACGGCCACGCGTGTGTATAGAGACCGAGGAATCCGTGGTGGTGCTGGGCAACACAGTGAGTTTGGTTTGTGCGTGCTTTGGGATAGAAGCTGGATGTTTCTCAGGGACAGACTGGTCCATCTCGCGCACAGGCAGCTGTGGAAAAGAAAACAGCTTATCTGGAGATAAGGGGCTTCTCCACGTTGCTCTCTTGTGTGCGTGACACCTGCGGTTCTGCGTTAGGGCAGCTTGCGAGCCCAGTCTCATGCCTTGAAGTTTCAGATAATTTCCAGGAGCGGGAAGACTTTTTTTCCCCACCTCGACGCAGAGCCGTGCGCTGGGTCCTGGTCAGCCTGTGCGGCGTCGGGATCTGGCTGCAGCTGGAAACGGGCGACGGGCCAGCACTTCGAGGTGCTCCGGGGGGTTAATCGGGCTCAGGTGCCTGGGAGGTTGTGCCTCGCCTGCACTCTGAGTCAAGCTGACTGCCAGAATAGAAGGTGGAGGAGAAATTCCCCATCTCGTATTGAAGGGATTTGGAGAATTTTGCAGGGATTGCCTTTTTCTGCTGAGCGGGGCATGACTTACCCACCAGCGTGTCTGGTCCGATTGGCCTTTTCCATTGCAGGGCCTCTGGCACTTGGTGGCATCTTTTCCCCTTGTGTTCTCTGCCTGTGACGCATAAGAGTTAGTCTCCTGGTTTAATTATACGCTGGAATTAATACGCGAGTTGCTAGGTGAAACTGAACAGTGCGCCTTGTAAAGGAGGTCAGACCAGACTACCCTTCCTCAGAATAAAGGCTGCAAAAGGGAGTCGTGAAGCGTTGGAAGAAAGAATTTTAAAATTGTTTTAGAATGTTTGTACTAAAAGACAAATATAATATTTATGAAGTGAAAAAAATCTTAGCGTTCATGAAATCAGGATGCTAAAATAGTAATTGTTCTGTAAATTCTTTATGCTGCTGACATTCTGAGAAGGTTGCAGGAAGGGAGATGAACCAAAAGGGTTTGCACCCAGCACGTTTAAGAAACCCCAGATTAAATATCTAATGGTACCTTCTGCCCGCAAGCATCACATTTTTTTTTCTTCTGCATAAGAGGTTGAGAATTTGGTGCTGGCCACTGTCGGAAGCAAAACGTTTTGGTAGACGGAGCTCCGTGCTGTTCTGGGCTGGGGACGCTGCTGCTTGACGTGCTGCTGTGCTGTGGGGCATTCGGTCTGGTTTGTCATCATGGAAAACGCTAGAGTTCAAAATTAACATCCTGCCACCTTTCAAATACTGTTCGAGGTGTGACAGGCTGCCGGAGGTGACTTGAGTGATGCCACTGTGATGGGCATTCGCAGATTTGTCTTCTGCCTTGCGTGTTGGAGACAGGCGAATTCGGGCTTTGCTGTTTGCCTGCCTGGATTACACAGCTCCTCCCAGGAGCTGCTGTGGCTGCCGCGTAGAGGCGTGGAAATTAGGTGCCGGAAAGCGCTTTGAGCCACTTGCCCAGTATTTCAGCCCAAACAGGTATCTTTGTTGAACGTGCGGCTCGCAGGCTGGCCGCCTGTGGAACGCAGGGTCCGCAGAGCGGGTTGGGGTTAGTCCTGCAGGTGACGTGCCGACACCGGTGAAGGGTCCCGGTTTCCTGCGTGCAGGTCTTGATCAAACGCTGGGGAGTCTGGCTTCGAGCCAGCGTAACGGCAGGCTGCAGAAGGGAACAAAAGCAGCTGCCGCCTCTTGAGGCGCTGCCGGTGCCAGGCAGAGAGCCTGCTCCTTCCCGAGAGGCTGCAGTGACGGGAGGCAAACGAACACCCGAGGTTACAGTTTTACCTCGTGCAAAGCCTGAGTTCTGGGGCGAGCGTTCTCCAGCATCGCTTGGTAACCTCAGCACTCTTTAATAGGTCTGGATATTTGCTGAAGGTGATGCCGAAATGGTTTGTAAGTCCAAGCAGCAAGAGTCTGGGGAGGTTAGGGTGAGTAACTCCGGGGGGGAATCCTGTCTTGTGGTGGGTGAACCCCTCTGCGTGCAGGCTGTGGCGTTAGTGGAGCCTGAGCAGTCCGGAGTGGAGAACTTCACGGCAGCGTGACAGCAGCCTGCCCCTTCCCAAGAAGGGCTATCTCCTGCCCCTCGAAAACCAGCCGAGCTCCCCAGACCCCGAGGTGGCTGCAGGAGAGCGCTGCAGTTGGTTGTGGTCCTCTCGATCCTTTTTTGCCTTATCCATATGTGCGTTGGCTTGACTACATAGTGACCATTGCCACAGTTTGTCTAAAGAAGAGCTGCTATTTTCTCAGAGTAAAACCTCTGCCGCGCAGTATTTTGGGTGATTTCCATCTTGAACGCGTACTGCTGCAAAAGGTTCCCCGCGCCTCCTTCGAGACCATCATCCCTGGCGCCCTCTCCCCCTTCCTCCCGCATCCTGGAAGATCCTGGCAGCGAAACCCCAACTCCTTCACGGCTGGACCCGAGAAGCTGTTACCTCTGCTCCACCGGGCTGTGGCATCGGGACTTCTGAAAATGGGGAGACGAGCTGCTTTCCCGTGGGTGGAGGGGGCCCTGAGCGGCAAGAAACTGGAGACAATTTCCAGCGCACTTTGGATGAAATGCAATTTCTTCCCAGCACGATTGCATAAACTCCCTGCCTCCATGAAAAAACATCCCTAGGGAAGCAGCCGATGCAGGGCTTTGCCTTGGTGTGATCAAGAATTGCATTCTAAAAGCAAAACATCGTGTTACTCTAAGTTGTGAGCAGTCTTCGTGACCTGAGGCGTGGTGGAAGCGCATCCACAAGAAATGTGGAAAGGAAGAAAAAAAACCAATAGTCGGGTACAGCACCTTCTTCCCTTCGCAGTGCCTGATCCAAGGCGGGTCAGCGTGGGAAGAGAGCGGTATTTGTGAGAGCTGGATTTGGGGTGGGATCCCTCCTCCCCGGGGATTCCAGGTTTCAGTCAGCTAAGCACGTTGGTTAACTCTTCTTTGCAAGTGCTGATGGCTACCGTTGAGTGAATTTATTTTCCTTTGAATATGTCCTGGCAACTCAAAAAGATTTTGTGCTGGAGGAGTGGAAAGTGGATCAATCATACTGGAGTAAAGCTCGTAAATCAGAGGGTTGAAAACAAGCTCTGCTGTCTGCTTTCCTCTCTTAAGCCATCTTACGGTTGTTTAACTTTACCTGAATGTATTTTCCTGTCTGATTGTACGTACTTTTGCAGCCCAGTGACTTCACTGAGACACATTCTCTTCCATGGATAGCTAGCTCTGAAACGTGCGATGTTTGAACAGAAAGCCGATCGCTTCTTATCACCGCTGTTGATATGATGTGAGCTCTAACTCTGTACCCTTTTGTTTCCTCTTCATGCAGCGTGGAGTGAAACCTAAAAAGGTGGTGCTTTTTTTGACAATTAATCTGTGTGTTGCCGAGTCTCCTGGCCGCATGAAAGGCCCTCCAGTGCATCCCAGTTCATTGTCACCCATCGCTGCTGTGCCTCCCATCGCACCGTTGCATGTTTCCTCATTGCATGTGCTCCCCTTCGCCAGCCCCCAGCTTGCTCAGAGGATGGGAGGTAAATGCAGCAAAAGCGATTGCTGCTGAGCCCAGACCACAGCGTGGCGGAAGGAGCTTGCATTGCGGTATCGCTGCCCCGCCGCTGCTCGAGGGAGGCATGGAGGCTGGCAGCCCAGCTCTACGCTCGATTGTGAGGTTTTTCCGCTGTTCCGGTTAGTCGCAGTCGGGTTTCCAAGTCAGCGCTGGGTGCCGGTTACTGCGTTACCCGCGGGCTGCGCCCAGCATCGCTCCCGACACGTCTGCGCAAAGTTCTTGCATCACCTCACTGTGAGTCTTGGACACCGGAGAGCCGGCGCACACGTCGCTGCTTCCGCCCGAAGGACTGACCGGCACACCTCAGCCTGGCTTTCGCCGCCTTCTGCCTCCTCTTTCCTTTAACAAACGTTTTAATGTGGTGTATGTTCCCTGACCCGTGGGTGTGGGAAGCACCAGCTACACGCTAAGTGCTTTACGTGCTGTGGGACGCGTAAGCTGTGCTCCCTCACGCTCGCTGTCTGACCTGGAAACGTTTACAACTACATTTGTTTCGGTAACCGGGTGTGTTATCACAGGGCCGTTAACGTGGCCCGTTATTGACCAATATATAGCAGTTTCCAAAGCGATACGAGGTGATGCTACATAAAGAATTTCCTCACGAGCGGTTTTAGTCTGTCGCTGAGCAGTGGTAAAACAGGGAGCTGCTGCAGCGAAAGAACAAACCCCAAGAGTTTGGAAAAAGATACCGTGCTGCTG